TCTTCAATCTCATTAATTCTGTCTTCCATTGCATCAATTCTACTCCTTTGCCCTTCCAATGTGTTTTCTATTTCTGACAATTTAGTATTAATCTTCTGGATTTCTGTCTGTAGATTTAGAATCATTTCTAAATTTTTCATTTATTTTGTCATTTTGTTCTTGTGTTTTCTTCCAAAATTCTTGTAAGGTTTTTTCTGTGATTTCTTTGGTCTGTCTCTCAATCCTTTGAAGACACCTAAATATAATTCTTTTGAATTCCTCATCAGAGAGAGTTCCAATGCTTCTTCTTCCTCAGGGATATGTTCTGGGTCTGTATCCTGCTCCCTTGTTTCTACCACTTTATCCTGCTTCTTTGTGTAGACTGTGATGGTCTGTTGTCTCCAAGGCATTGTGGCGTTGTTGTATTTACATCTCTGTTAACTATTTGTGAAGAGCAGACAATGGTGACTCAGGCTCTTCTTGGTGGTTTTTTATTGTTGGCCCGTTGGTGGAGAAGGAGATAGTGGCTCTCGCTCAGTAAGTGAAGTTGCAGGAGGTGTGGATGTAGTTGTGTTTTATGGGGACTGTTGCTGTATCCTTTCAGTCTTGCAGGTCTGGAGTGTCCTTGGTGTTGCTGGAAAGTAGAACCTCTTCTTAAGCCCCTGGAATCTCGGAGAGTAGTCTCTTTATATATCCAAAATGGTCAAGCCACTTGGAACATTCAAACTGGTGGCGCCCTCCGGACTGACAAAAGTCCACAGCTCAGCCCGCCTTTCTCTTCACCTTCTCCGTTTATTCCCCAGCCACCAGAGCAGTATTCCGTGCAGTCCCTGGCTAAGAGGGCTGTATTTTAGGTCCTACCAGCACTCACGGATCTCCAACCTGTCTGTGCTGTCAGGATTTTTCAGGGTCGCTGCCAGACCACAGCTCTGTCTGTCTCCTTTTTTTGGTATTTTCATGCAAATTCTTCTGCTAGTTGGGGTTTAATCCACTTCTATTTCCTTCCCTTGAAGGCCCAGGGTCCAGGATTGTCTTCTGTGTCTGTGTTAATTGGTTTCCCTTTTCTTTGCTGTAGAGGGTCTGTGCAGTCTTTCTGCCTAGTCCGCCATCTTATCGGAACTCTCTAGCATAAATTCTTAAAAATATTAGTATCAGTGTACCACACAAAATGAAACTAATAAAGTGCTAGTGTTAAGCTAGTTGTGATACTGCAGACTCAGGCTTTGATTTTTCGTTTGTTCAAGATTTACCAGAAGTATATGGAGGATATGGAGCTCTGGTAGCATAGTGCCTAAGGTACTTGACTGCTAACCAGAAGGCTGGCGGTTCAGACCCACCAGCCACTCCTCGGAAGGAAGGTTGGGCAATTTACTTCCGTAGTGATACCGCCTTGGCAACCCAAGAAGGGGTCACTATGAGTCGGGTCCGACTCAACGGAACACAACAACAACAATATGGAGGATAAACGCTAGCACTCTAGCATGCATAATCTCTGATAGCTGGATGCCCCACTGCACTGGGAGTTTTGCCTGGGGCCTGAAATACCATTATATATCCTCCGTATACTTTTTCCTTGTCATTCTGCTTTTTTCTCCCTGCTTAAAATTAACCATTTAAAACTCCCAGCTGGCTATTCAAAGTAACTAATTCATATAATAGGACCTCCGGTGGCACAGTGTCTAAGGCATTTAACTGCTAACCAGAAGAAGGCTGGTGGTTCAATCCCACCAGCCACTTCTCAGAAGGAAGGTTGGGCAATCTACTTCCATAGTGATACTACCTCAGAAACCCAAGGAGGGGTCACTATAAGTCAGATCCAACTCGAGAGCACTGAATTTGGTTTTTGGTTTTGGAAGTCATATAAACTGAATAAAACAAGCATTTTAAAATAAAAAGCAACAATTACCTGACTGAAGATGGTCCCTCTTCTGTGAAACAATTATCCCATGCTCCTAACCATTCCCCAGTGTCTTTATCAAACACTTGGAGTCTTTTATTCCCTCGGTCAGCCACCCATACCTGAGAAACCAAGAAAAAAAATCTACTGTAAAATTTTCATATTGTAATGAGAAGAAAAAAGGGGAGGAGAAAATGAATGTTTATTTTCATTAGTTTCTTATATATTACTTCATTTAATTTTACAGAACTGAAAAAGAAAATATGAGGCCAGTTCTCACATGAGGACACCAAAGTCCACAGAGGTTAAATAACTTATCTGAAATGAGTGTACAGTAGTCAAGAACCACAGTCTAAATGGCCATCTGTCTTAACCACATTCATATGATGCTATTTTACTAACCTGACTCATGAATAGCTAAAACAGTGGAGTCCTCTAACATACTGTAGGGGATTAGTAAATGCTGAAAAACAATGGTAGGCATTTATTCCTCTAGCAAACAGTCACTTTCACTGAGTACTGTCAAATTCTCAGTTCCGGGACCTACACTTGCTATTACCAAGATACACGCAAAGTGCTGAACCACTTATGCACTTGGGAGACTTTTAGTAACACATAAAGAATAACTTAGCATATAGATTTATAATAGGCTCTAGCATTATTAAGAAACTCTTACTTTAAAACAGGAAAACAGATTCATTCTAAAGGACATTCCATGGGTAGTATTTGACATAGGCAACCTAAAGCATAAATTAAGTGAGAAGGTTTTTAATGGCATGCAGCAAGAGTTGTGGATAGGTATAAGACAAAGTACTAGATAAGAAGACTAAAACTAATGACTTCTAGCTCCCTACTTCAGGTCCCATGAATTTCTTGGTTTGTGGATTCAGGGATTAATTTCATGGTAAACTTCACTACATTTTTGTCAATAGCTATGTCTTTCAGTAGCAACTAAATTCATCTCCAATCAAAAACAAATAATGACTTATAACACCATTTTAGAAAGGTTGTTGAACCTTGCAAACCAAATTAAACCCATTATTATTGAGTGAATTTCAACTTTAACAATCCTAAAGGGGTAGAACTGTCCTATAGGGTTTTCAAGAACGTAAATCTTTACGGAAGGAGAGTGGCTGGTGGGTTCTTTCTCCCACAAAGCGGCTGGTTGGTTCTAACCAGTGACCTTTTGATTAGCAACTGAATGCTTTAATCACTGATATCCTCATTGACTCTTAAATTAATTCTTAGTCTTTTCCTCATCTATAATTCTTTATTAAGAAGAGGATCCTTAAGCTTTTGAGATCCCTGTCTCAGTCAAATGACCAGGAAGGAAATACGACCAATGACATGTTAGATGATTAGCATTATCTTTCCTACTAAATGAATCTTGATCATGGGAATTCCTATTGAAGAAACAACATCACCAAGTTTTTAGCTCTGGAATTAACTTTTCATGTACTGTTTCAGTGATGATTAAATGAGTTAATCACGTAAAAAGCTTATAACAGTGTCTTTTAAGACATAGTTTTTGTACCATACTGTTATAGCAAAAAACAAACAAACAAAAAATCCTACTGCTAATGTGATAACACTAACAAGCAGAAATTAGCATACCTATTCCTATGAAGTAGTCAGCTGCAGGGATCCAGGTGAGGAGAGGGAACCCAGGCATGCCCAAAGCAGCAGGGTAGGAGAGAGAGACAAAGGGGATTAAAAGGCCCAGGAACCAGGACAGAGGAGCAGTCAGTTGCAGGGATCCAGGTGAGGAGAGGGAACCCAGGCATGCCCAAAGCAGCAGGGTGGGAGGGTGGGAGAAAGGGGATTAAAAGGCCCAGAAACTGGGACAGAGGAGTAAGCTGCAGGGACCCAGGTAAGGGTGGTACGAGACGTTTCCAAAAGGGAGAGAAACTTGTCTGTCAGTTTGTCCTACCGTGCTGACATGCTGATGTGAGTTTTGAGGCTGAGCCACTGCTGTTTCAAACCCAGCAGGATGCACATGGTGCACAGGTATCAGCCCAGCTTATAGACTAAGAAAGACTAGGAAGAAGGAAGAGGCCATCCACTTCTCAAAGAACTGGCCAGGGAAAACCTTATGAATAGCAAAGAATCACTGTCTGATATGTTACCGCGTGACTTTATGAATAGTCCGGTTAGGTTAGAAGGCTCTCAAAATAGGACTGGGAAAGAGCTGCATCATCTGACTAAACGCAGCCTTACTCATATGGATAAGGCAAAGCTTTCGAGACCTCCATTTGCTGATGTGGCACCACTTAAATTGAGGAGAAAAAGCTGTAGACATCCTTTAATCATCAGAACATGGAATTTACGAAGTATGAATCTAGGAAAACTGGAAGTTGTCAAAAATGAAATGGAACACATAAAGACTGATATCCTCGGCAGTGAGCCGAAGTGGACTGGTTTTGGCCATTTTGAATCAGACAACCATATGACCTACTATGCTGGGAATGACAGTGTTAAGAGGAATGGCGTGGCATTCATCATCACAAAGAATGTTTTAAGCTCTGTCCTGAAGTACAATGCTGTCAGTGATAGGATAATATCCATATGCCTACCAAGACCGGTTAATATGATATTATTCAAATTTATGCACCAACCACCAAAGCCACTGATGAGGAAATTGAAGA